GGTCGTTTCGGAAAAGACGACGCTGTCCGCCCACGGCGTGTGACTCAGCCGACTTTCCTGTTGAGGCGCCCCCGGTGCGTCAAATGACCACTGGATAGTGAACACTAAGCAGGAACAGGGAAATCGCCGGCGACATGCGGGCCCGGCAGACCGGTCTTCGCGCACTGTTGCTTTGTATAAATAAGGTGGATATGTTGTGGGTGACCGATTGACTAAATCAGACGCAGATAAAATAAACTAGAAGTAATAAGATATCATTAATTACGGCGTTGTTATCCTTTTTCGTTATTTTTGTATTAATCTAAACAATAACACCAAATTTAGAGACGCCTGGTTTGCTGGGGTGCCCAACAACAAAATAAACCGTCAATGAAAACTGCTTCGTCGCAGCATTGAGAAGAGTCGTGTGAAGACTGGAACATGTTGAATATCAAGCCCCTTCTCTGACGTATCGGTAAGGGATCCATCGCCACCGTGCTATCTCCTGTGAGCATTGGGGCCTTACTACTGTAGGACTGCCTTTGGCCGCTCGGCGGGTTGATTCTAGTCAGTCCATTGTGACCAGTCCAGTGTCCACCCCACCCGAGTCATCACTGGAAATGAATGAACACAATGGGCACAGTGTTTTCCCGGCGAACCTCGGGTGAGCCCGTGTGGACGGTGAGGTTTCCATTCTGCGGTTTCCAGCGCTTCCATGCGGTCAGACATCGGAACTTTTTACATTGAATAGCTCTTGAACTGAAAACTGGCCAGTGGTGTACCTACAATTACACGGAGAGGCAGCTTCTTGCTCTGAAGCTTCCAAGGGAGATGCAATAACTACAGTACGTGACACTTTTTCAGTTTAAAAGTGAACTGATCAAAGCTAGGTTTGTGCGGAGCAGTGCAGTATTACCTATTACCTAGCATCTGTAGGGATTTGTTTTTTTATACGCGCCGTGATGATACCGGTGATGGGCCGTGTGTTCCAGCGGACATGGTGCGTACCAACGCCGACGAGACGGACGGCATACTGGTGATGACGACCAAGACGCTGGTCATCAACTGCTCTACCACGTCTGACGTGCCCAGCAACACCGTCACTTGGTGAGTTTCCGACACGGGCACACTTACTCAGCGGTCGTGGTAGGGTCGCACTTGGTCACGCCATTGGGCTAGGACATTATTTGGACGCTTGGTCACAGTTCAGCGTTTGGTCACACTACGGACTCACTCACTGGGAGGAGGGGGGTGGGGAGCGGGGGGATATACGCCTAGAGATGCTCTGGTCGTGTTGTATTCGTCTGGTTTGATCGTTTGTCGAAAGGTTGTATGCTTTATCGCATGTCGGGGTCTGTCTAGCAGTGTTGGAAATTCTTAACGTTCCTGTGTGCCTCTGTGCCTGTGATTGTCTCTGTGCTGCACTCTGGTATTGCTGGTTTCTGTTATGCTCTTGTATGATGTGTAATTTAGAGGGTACGCATCACACATGCCCTGTGGTCGGTGCAGTGTGCACTGTGCGTATTATAGAACGACTCCGTTATAGCTCATTCGCCCCAGATGAATAGCCTGATTTCCTGTCGTGCAATCAGCTATGCCAATGATATCAAAGCTTGACCGAAGATCCGTCAACTGATCTAGTGCAACGGGAGCTGATCTAGGCGGTCATTTACCGTCCCAATGTGTGTCCGACGTTTGTACGTGTGGAAGTGTGATCGGCCGGTATCTGCACTTGACTGGGTTATCTGCGGCCCTACGGGATGACCGCCGTGAACAGACCATTGAGAGCCGCTATCAGGGCCCGGTCTGGGTCGATTGATATTGGGTACCACGTGCTACTGACACAGCCCGGGCCTCCTCGTGGCTGCACGGAGACGCCACGTGCCAGAGGCACCACACGTGTGTGCGTGTGTACGGGGAGGGCGGTGGGCATGGCACTGATCGCACTGGCGAAAATTGAATGCCTTACATGGTGTGACTGGGTCCAATTGCTGACCGAGATGGGATTTTGCGACATATCGTACCGGGACGATCGGCTGATGCTCGATATGTTGTAACTACATAGTTGTTTCTAGGTTTTATTGCGGCGACTCGGGGTTTTGTTAACCCGCGCCCCACTGGGGTCTGCGTATAACGCGCCCTACTGGGGGGGGGCTATTCATAGCCCCCCCCCCCTCCTAACTCCGAAACTACTGGGCCGATCGTCAAAATTCAAACGGCGTCTGATAGCCCCGGAAAAACTGTCGAGCGAAACCTAATTTCATTGACCTCGAGGTCACCGATGACGTCACAGGTCAGGTCAAAGTAAAAATTATTAGCATTTTGGCTTCTTCACGTTTTGGGCTCTGACCGCCGTCTTACAAGTCCGATCAGGCTCCTTTTGGTTCACACACTCGTGAACAGATGCTCTAGATACTCTGAGGGTACCAAACTTGTACTTTGATTTTCAGGTCAAGGTCAGGTCATCACAGGTCACGAAAATATTATATCATCCGTCGGTCACGTGACATATGTTTTATGGTCCATTTAGGCCAAACATTTCGAATTTGATGTCGTCTGTGTCATTTGAGGTCATTTTGAGTCAAATTTAGCTCAGGTCAGGTCACTTTCAGGTAAAAAAAGGTCAAATTTTAAAGTTATAATTTTTCAACAAAAAAGGTGTCTATTGGATGCAGTTTGAGCTCAGGAACACGATGGTGCTATTTATATTGGCGTACGATGTCAAATTCGTGCTGAAAAATTGATTTGAAAAATTAATAATTGTTAATTTTTTGCAATAATGCGTATAACTTGGCCATTTTTGAAGATATTTAGCTAAAACTTGCTAGAGTTAGTCATAATAATGCGTTCTATCACATATATTCCGTTTTTTTTCGAAAAGTCAAAAACTTTTGAAAAAAAATGTAAAAATATAAATTTTGAATTTTATTATATAAAATTTTCGAAATTTTCAAAATTTCGAAAATCCGAGATAGCAGTTTGATAGCGCAATCTATTTTGAGTCCTCTCATGCAAAGAAATTGGATCTAGCTGAAAAACTGAGCTCTTGGGAGCGATTGCCGTGGTTCAATGTTTTGCGTCGAAATCGGCCGAACATGACGTCACTCTGACGTCATTTCCGGCTGACATATGGTAGGCACGAAGTTCAAATTTTGACACAAGGTGTCAAATTGATGCAGCCGAAGGTGCTGAAAGTTTGGCGTCGATACGTCAAGCGGTTTGGAAGTTATTGCAGAAAAACGGGAGGGGGGGCTATAAATAGCCCCCCCCCCCCAGTGGGGCGCGGGTTAAAGGGACCCTCCCACCTTCAAAAAAGTTAATGAATTGGCACGAAAGTGATGTCGCTCGGTTCAGAAGGAGCGAAAACGAATATCTACCAAATTTCATCGAAAAATATTCACCGGTTTTCAAGATATTAGACTTTTACTTTTGTTTACTTTTTGGGATCTCCGCTGTTCCTAGCGACTTTATTTGAAAGTGCGGCATTTGTTGCGCGCAAAGCAGCATATACCACCGCGTGCTACCAAACGTTTTAGTAAAAGATTTAAAAATCGTTAGATCTCCGCTGACGTCACAAATTCTAAGGGGGCATACCAATGCACTAGCCCCTTAGAATCCGAAAACTGCAAGTTTGAAATTCCATATCTCCGAATTAAAGCATTTGTCGATGTTGTGAGCAGTGGCGTACGCACATACAGGACATTCCGTGCATGCCCTGTCCCTTTGGCTCATCGTCCCCGGCGCCCTCAGTGACTGGCGCCCCTCTGTCCAGTGTTGGCGCTCCTCCAGTCGATAGCGGCGCGCTTCTAGTTGATGGCGAAGCCCCTCTGTCTAGTATTGGCGCTCCTCTGGTGATAGTGGCGCCCTCCTAGACGATATGGTGGGCCGGTGGCGCCCCTTTGTCCAGTATTGGCGCCCAGGCGCGGATCCAGGGGGGGGGGGGCGACGGGGGCGGCCGCCCCCCCCCCCCCCATCCGAAAAAGGCGCCCATATCCCGCGGCAGAGAGGGCGCCCCGAGCAGAAGAGCGGCGACACAGCAAAGGTTCAGCAGAAATAGGGCGCCTCCAGCAGAAGTTGGGCTCACCAAGCAGGAGAATGACGCCCAATTGCCTATTCCCAGCAGATGAGAGTCGCCCCAGCAGCAGATGGGCGCCCCCAGCAGAAGAGGGCGTCTCGTTACAAGAATATAAAATACCTTCTGTTCAAGAGGGGCGCCCCTGGCAGCGGAAGGGCACCCTTAGCAGGAGACGTGTCCCCCTGAAGAGGAGCGACGCCCCAGCAAAAGGAGAGAGGCGCCCCCATTCCGAGAAGAGGGGCGCCCTGACAGCAGCTGGGCGCCCCAGCAAAAAAAAGGAGCCCCATAATAAGAAAATGGGTGCCACTGGCAGAAGAGGGGCGCCCCAGCAGAAGACAGGGGTCTCCAGTAGGAGACGGGCGCCCCAAGCAGAAGAGGGGCGCCCCAGCAGAAGAGAGGCGCCACAGCAAAAGTTAATCAGAAATAGGCAGCCTCCAGCAGAGGTTGGGCCCGCCAAACAGGATATGGGCGCCCCATTGACAATATCCGGCAGAAGACAGACGCCCCAGCAGCAGATGGGCGCCCCCGGTAGAAGAGGGGCGCCCCATTACAAAAAGAAAAGGAGTATATTCTACCAAGAGGGGCGCCCCTGACGACAGCGGAAGGGCAACCCCAGCAGAGGGGCGGTGCCACAGTAAAAGGAGAGGTGTGCCCCGCTCCGAGCAGCAGAGGGTCGCCTCGCCCCAGAAAAAAAAAACAGGAGCCCCATAAGAAGAAAAGGGGTGCCTCTGGCAGAAGAGAGACGTTCCCCGCAGTGGAAGGGCGCCCCCACAAGAGTGGCGTCTCCAGCAAAAGAGAAGTGCCCCCTGCAAGAGAGGGGCACCCCACCAAAAGTTGGGCAGAAGTATGTTTTCGGCAGAAGTGGGGCGCCTCCAGCAGAATTTGGGGTCGCCAAACTGGAGAAGGCCGCCCTATTCACAGTAGAAAAGACTCCTTAGCAGCAAAGGGGCGCCCTAACAGAAAAGGTGCACTCGTAGTAGAAGTGGGACGCATCAGGAAGAAGAGGGGCACTTCTAGCAGAAGATGGGCGTCCCAGATAAGTGGGCCGCCTACAGCAAATTGGTCGTTCTTAGAAGGAAGAAATGAGGCGACTTAAGCAAAGTGGGTCTCTCCATAATGGATTAGGCGATCCAAGCAGAGGTTGGGCGCCCCCGGGAAGTGAGGCATACCAGCATAAGTGAGACGCTTCCAGAAAAAGGAGGGGGCATCACCGGGAGAAGGAGGACTGCACCAGTAAATGGAGGTCACCTTTTTGCTAATATCTTTTCCTAGGGTAGCGGTGCCCATCTACGACCCGTGCCGTGCTGGTGGTCTGAGTTTTCCGTGTCCTGCTGGGGAGGGGGGGGGGGGGGCACACTCCCTCGTCTAACTCGGCTCCTGGGCCGCGTAGTGACACGCGATAAGCGGCATTTGAAGGATCGTCAAAAACAGGACGAAAACAAAACGGTCATTTTTTAGGTCAGGTCGAATGTCAGGTCACCAGTGGTCATCAAAGGTAAAATGTTGCCTGTTTCAACATTTTTCCGTTTTCGAAGCAGCGGCACATAACTCGGAAACCAATAGAGCTGTAGCGCCGCAGAAAAGCGCATTCGATAGCCCCTTTAAAGGTGTTTCTGCAAGCTGCGCTCAGATTTGACCTCAGGTCAACGGTTTAGCCTTCAGAGGGCAAAAGACTCTAAAAATAGCCTTTTTACGAACAATATTTTCCTGCAATAACTTTTGACTCAAGAGAGTCTCGACATTACGTTTGCCAGCATTGCGTTTCTGTCGTCGAGACACGTCGAACAAACTAAAGGTTGACCTTATGAAGGGTAATTTTGAGAATTTGACCTCAGGTCAAGGTCATGACCTGACCGGAAAAGGTCATGCTGTATAGCAGTCGATGCGTATCGTCGAGCTGAACACAGCTGAGGTGTTTTTATCGCTCTAGCTTGAATCTATCAAAAGTTATTAAAAAAAACTGCTGCGGACCTTTCATGACATGGGATGACCTCTGGGACATAATGAGTGGTCACACTAGGTGCAATGTTCTTATTCAGCGTGTTAATTTTATATGTATCCCAATGCTTGATATTGTCTAGAATGGCGCTCGTCCAAAAGAGATGCCTTTCAGTTTTCTCCCAAAGACTTAATTATACCTACCTACCTAATGGAGACGTCGCACAACTGACCTGACCTTAGGTCACAGATATCAAAATTCCGAGATATACATTTCATGGATAGTGTTGCTTTCATCAATCGCTGAAAGGTTCAAAGCAATCGTTCAGTCGGTATAGCAATGGTAAGCATTTGAACTTTTTCTTAGGCTAGGTCACTTGGCATAACCTGGTGACCTGACCTTCCATCACCCGCGTCAGACATTTTTACATGTGCAAAAAAGATGCATGATAAGGTATGCTGAAAATGGCGGCGCTGCGCGCAGCCGTTTTTCAGATATTTGCGAAAAATTGAGGGGGAGCGCGATAACGCCCCCTAGCACGGCGCGGGCTTTTAGCTCCGGATTTTGACGGTTTGGCGCCCCCTTTGTATGGAGCGCCCCCGGATTGCCAGGTCGCCCCTATTTCGACTTGCCGCCCCCCCCCCCCCCCTCCTCCAGAAAATTCCTGGATCCGCCCCTGTTGGCGCCCCTCCAATCGATAGCGTCGCGCTCCTAGATGATGGTGGGTGGCGCCCCTCTGTCCAGTGTTGGCGCCCCTCCAGTCGATGCCCTGGTCCTTCGCAAATTCCTGGGTACGCCACTGGTTGTGAGTGCCCAAACCGGTATTTGCAGGCCATGGCCACCAATTTGGCTATCTCAACTCAAAACTAATGTTAAGGTGGGAGTGTCCCTTTAAGAATTTATTGTCCTTACCAGAGGAATCGGTGTCTCTGCTTAGCTGAGCGTCTGCATCCGTACTCCCTACATGGTGAACCGCCTGCCAGGGTTTGCATCACAAACACCAGTACGAGCGGGAGCACAAACCAACGAGAAACACAGACAAGACACACGCCCATAATGTAAGCTGTACTGTGGCCTTCACTGCGCAGCGATTAACCAGTCTTGCGTCACAAGGGAGTGCCGTACTCATAACAGACTTTCATGGACGGCGCAAACCGCTTCAACTCATTGTACTTTGGCGTTTGTCAGGCCCAGACTGCCAGGTCACGCTACGCCAGCTGTTCTTACTCGATCTCGCTCCTTCGACCATGACTATTATACGCTAGCAGCTGCCCAGCCGCGCGCCGGTGCCAGCACACAGCTCATCGGCCGCGTCCCCTGTATGTTTGTGGATGTGACGCAATCGGTGCTCATGTGCGACGCTTTCGCTCGTGCTGGCTCTCCCAGAGGTCACGGCTCTGGTCGGATCGTCGGCCGCCTTGCGTGTTTTGCCTCATATCCCGTCTGCCGGCGTTCCTTCTGTTCCGCATTGCGTCTTCCCGAGCGTTTGTTTTACGTCTGCTAGCTGATTTTACTGCTGTAATTTCGATCACGCATCTGTTCCCCTGACGAGCCTGCTTCATATGCGCAAAGTACATATGTTTTCTCATTTATGATGGCGGCTCGAGTGTTGCGACTGCACAGTGCACACAGGTGCCCGTATCTATCCCGGGGGCCCGGGGCCTCGCAGAAGGTGGTTGCTGGTGGGTAATTGCCATGCGCTGACGGAACATACAACAAATACTGGGCATATGACCTGTGGAATATGCAGCAGGTGGATGGGTCATGCAGGTGGCAACCCGCCAACCCGTGTATTCATGTCTGGTTTTGTAATCCGTAACACGGCTGTGCAAGTGCACATATTTCACGGCTGCTGCGGTCTGATTGTTAGTCGTGTTAGCGTAATTGCGGCGATGCTAGCGTAATAACTGGTGGCGACCTTCACGGTGCTACGGTCACTCCGTCGCGCCGCCCCCTCGCCGAACCTCTGCCGTCGTAGACCAGCAGTACGTGATGGCTCGTCAGACAGGAACTCCGGCCGTGACACCACCCGTCACCATCCGTCACCATCGTCACACCGTCACGGGATGTGACGCTACAAATGATACGGGCGCGCTGCAGACCAGTTGTGTCCGGCCCCCACCGGACGGTGACGCCGGGCACATGTCCTGTGACGTCACACACACCTCGATGGCCGAGGTCATGAAGTGCAACATCGTATTATCAGCTACGGGCCGGGATGGTGCAGACTTCAGAATTTGTGCACGCAAGTGGTTGGTTGCCACGCCGAGTTCCCCATTGTGTAGCGCTATGTAAATGATGTTTGTACGGGGAGAATGTCTATTCTTGACCTTGGCGTTCGATCAGCGTGTGGTATACGGTACCATCCGTCCGTTTGTCTATGTTTATTCTTTTTATTTGAAGTTTCCCACCCGTTTCCCACTCAAATATCAGCCTATTTCATACGCAACTAATTCTAACCCACGTAGTTCCATGATCCATAACAGTACCTATTTGCTTTCAATACATGTGTCGAGTGGATGTTGCCGCCACGGTTATGTATACTATTTGATTTACTAAAAAGTTAACCGCTCATTTTCGCTTCATTATCACAGGAGCTCCGTGTTTTTACACGAAAGTGTAAACGTGTCGACGGTTGACGTGTTCGGTCTGAATTCGACCGATAAAACTAACTGGTGCTTTGTGGACCCGCTCGATCATGTATTATGTACCTATTATTATGTGCCAGTCTGAATGGAAGTAACGCAGGCTGACTGTGCTGTGACCGTGTCCTCTGGTAACGGTTGTGTTTTCGTGTATCTTCTGAAGGTCGGTGTGGGCACGCCACTATGATAATATACACACCTCAGTGGTGTGTGTGTGTGGGGGGGGGGGGGGGTGGAGGGCAGTAAATGAACAGCTGTGCGACGCGCTCACTGCAACACGGGGGGGGGGGGGGCGCACGCCCCTAGTGGGTACACTGGAGGGGGGGGGGCGCAGGGAGCTGCCGAGTAGGGGAAGGAGGGTGAATTGCGCCACCTTAAGGAAAAACGCTAATTGTAAGAAAACCGCTGGAGATATAAGCATGCATCGGTGACCATTTCAAAGAGGAACTCATTGGCTACAATTTAAGAGCCTCCCGATCAATTAAGAATGTTTCGTTTGCTTCTGACAGCTGCTTTTTCAGAAACATGTAAAAGGGCGCATTTGCCAACAACTGCTGTAAATTGCGCCAGGGGGATGGCGCAATTAGAACCCAATTGCGCCCTATACTTTAACATGGCTAAGCGAATGAGACGGAATGCATACACCCCCGCAGTCTAATGTCATTGCGGCTTACTTTAACATTCATAATGTTATTCACGCTGGTTAAATAATAAATTTAGGTGTAAATCGCGATGTTTTTTTGCCCAGGTAGATAACTTTACATGTGTTCGTACGCTTGTAAAAGTGCAACGAAAACGTTTACTGTAACCGACTAGATATATGTGAACGTATGCGCCTATACGGTTATATTTCCAATCGTTTCTCTCAAAATTAATAATTTTCATTATTTCGACAGTTTTATGACATCAGTTTTTACTTTTTTATCATAGCTGTCACCTCTCACGCCTGAGTCCATGTTGAAAATGTCGTATTTTGTCAATTACACAAGTTCGTAGCCTAAATGGCAGCTGCATTATAAGTTTGACGAGAGAAATAATTTGCGGACTGACGACAGCGGGCTGCTCCCCTGCCTGACCTTAAACTCCTTCTTTATTGCAATCAGTTAATGATGCATTCATGCTGTCGTGATATACAATAGCTACACCATTATTCTATTTGCGCCCCCCTGGCGCAATTGCCATGGGCGCAATTAAAATTGAGGTACTTTTTAATAAAAGCGTGAAAGTTATCAGAAAGATGTTGAAGGAAATTAACTGTTTTAGTGAAATATAATCAAAAAAGGGTTTTTCTTTCTAAATATCACTCTGAAAATCACACAAATATCACACATTTTTATAGCCAACGGCTCAAAACACTGCAAAAAAGCTAAGAAAACGCCGTAACATCTTTGATGGCGTAATGAGCCTCGCTGATTGGCTTCATCGGGGAGCTTGGGCCATAAAAGGAACTATCCAGTGGGGAAAATAATGTTTTCGAACACAAAATTCAAACCATGCCATTGAATCCGTGGGAATGTTGGTGGGCGCAATTGGTTAGGAGGGCGCAATACACCCACTTTCCCCTATATAGGTACTGGGAACGATTGAGATAACTTATCTTTTTCTTTAGAATACCTGGACAGCTCACTTTTTAGAGTTCTTGTGTTCTGTCACTCACTTCTTTCTACATTTGATAGGCCAGCTCCACCTATATACCACCTCTTTTTTTCTTGCCTGCTGTCGAGCCGTTTCTGTGTCATTTGAGTTGCCGAGAATTTAAGCTGCTGTACTTCCTTGTCCTTCGCTCACGTGACCAGTGACCTCCATCGAAACTGTAAAATTCACGTCTGGAAACAAGCTATCTGGAATGTAATGGAATGAGGCGTGAAATGTAGCTGTTTTTCGCGCTTCTGTTCCATATGTATATCCTTCGCTTCACATTAGTACCTTACCGACACGATAGCACATATGTGCAGCCTGCCACTGTAATATCTGTGCCTCAGATATAGGTCGCATAGTCCCTAAGTCTGCCCCTTCAGATGACTGCGTTCCTTAGTCCCGGACTGTGTCCGGACAGGCTCTATAGTTCCTGAGTCCCTATGGGTGTACTATAGTCTCTAACTGCGTTATATAGTCTCTAACGCCCCTCGCTCCCCAGGTACAAGTCTGTCGAGGGCGGCGAGCAGGAGGAAGTCATCGGCGACAGCAACGTGATCGTCGAGGGCGGCGTGCTCACCATCAAGAAGCCGACCGAACTCGACGCCGGAAACTACACGTGCAGCTTCGCCACGGCAGCCGTGACGGACAAAACGGTCCAGGAAACCATCCGCGTCATCAGTGAGTGTCCGAGCTGTCTAAAAAAGGTCACACTGGTCATTCAGGTCACACTATGACAAACGCAGGTTACACTCTGACCATCCAGTTTATCATTAAGTGTCTGTTATCGAAAAGGGGTCACATGACACCATTTTCGACGAATTAAAAATCATCAAATTAAATGGTCATGCAGGTCACGGCGTATCATAATTGAATCGCTGCAATAGCCGTTGATTAATGAATATCTAAAAGTTCGCATTATTATTTTGTAGATTGATAATGGTTTCTTTGAATTGTTTAATGTTCATAGTCCGTGCTTCTGTTTTGTCCTGCAGCGAATGTGACCGTTGCTATGCCGAGCCAGTCGATCAACAAACAGGAGGGAGATGAGGTGGTCATCCTGTGCGAGCCCTTCGGACGGCCCCGGCCCGCCGTCACTTGGACCAAAGGCGAGTCGCCGTCACCAAAATAGATCTTAGTCTGCCGTGACCCAACTGTCCTGGACCAAATGTAGCTTATGCCCAGGCTCCACTACGTTTTCGGTGCGATTTTGCGATAATGTGAGAATTCGATGCCCTTGGGAATGCCAGAAAATGTCCGTCTTGTGCACTTTGCGGAAATCGTATTATTGCAATGTCATGCAATAAATGTCAAGTAATAAATGTAATAAATGTAACGTCATAAATGTAAATGTCACGCAATATCGCTCACGCATTATCACATTATCGCAAAGAAGTTCAGATGCCTGAACTTTTTTGCGATAACGCGATATCGCAATATCGCAAAATCTCAAAATCGCACCGAAATCGCGTAGTGGAACCTGTGCTTCAGTCCACGTGACTGAGCCAAAGGCTGCTCCATTCCCTCACCTAAACCAAAGGGGTCTGTCTGTCTGTCCGTTCTGCTGCCGCTGTGCACGTGAGCCCTGCCCGGCCGGCGGTGCTGCCCGTAGTGAACCCGCTGCTCCCGGCGGTCGTGGCGGGACCGTTGGGTAGTCTGGGCGGTTTACGGCCGCGCCGTGGGCTCGTATGACAGGTTATGGGTGTATTCTGCATCGCTCTGCACGGCTGGAGCGGTGTCGGGCAGGAGTGGCGTCCGCTGGCCAACCAGGGAGAGCATGAATGGAGGAGGGAGGGAGAGCGGGCCGCTCTAGCTAATTATGCAAACTTCGTGGGCAGAGAAACGATACCAGAGATACGAAATACAAACTTCGTGGTATTTCGAGTAAGGTGTTCTTAATGTGGAGAAACGCAGGGGAAATGATTGTAAGCGTGGGGGGGGGGGGGGGTGTCTGCGATCTCTCACTGCGGTCACGTTTCTGTCCGTTTGATATATGTGATAGGGTTGTTCGACTCTTTAGTGCCCAGGGTTGTTCATGACGAGTGAATTTTTGTGTTCGAAACGGAAAAGTGAACCCCCCACACGTCTGTGCACTGGTAACTTGTCTCTTCGATTTTGCGCACGGATAACTTCTATACTACCCTCCCACTCACGCTACCCGCTACCATTACCATCCCTTCTAACTGCCTCCCCCCCCCCCCGTCACGGCAGACGGCAAAGACGTCAAGGTCGCCATCAAGAACTCGACGTCACGCCTGACGCTGAGTGCCGATGACGACGGCAATGTCGACGCGCGCCTGACGCTAACGGATCTGCTGCGCCCGGAGGACGCTGGAGACTACTGCTGCCGTGCGGAGAACCTGGCCAACGCCGCCGAGGCCTGCATCATCGTCAGGGTCAAGGGTGAGCGGCGCGGGGGTAGACTGTATGGACTGTGAACTGTGGAGGAGTGGAGGGTGTTTTGGGGTAGGTAATCAAGGGGGTTAACTTAACTACTTACACTACTAAGGTGGTACAGGGGTTGCCGGGGACGACACTGGATGCCTGCGGGTAACGAGTCGGCTCAGGGTTGTCTGTTAAGTGTTTGGTGCATGAAAAGCCGCCGTGTGTGTGGGACTAGCACTCAGTACCAGCGTTCGGATAGCTTGCGACCCAATTGGCTCATTGTATGCTAGCGAAACGTCCACTATTAAAATTTTATTTCGTTTCAGCAGAGCATGCTTAACACAATGCTGTGTATTTCCGCAGACAAGTACGCCGCTCTGTGGCCGTTCATTGGCATTGTGGCCGAGGTGATCCTTCTGACGGCCATCATCTACATCTACGAGAAGAAGAAGAGCAAGCCCGACATGGACGACAGCGACACCGATAACGGAAACGACAAGTAAGGGAAATCAGACTAGGTGTGTAGAAACGCTACGATGATGTATCTACTATCTAGTCGTGTAGTTAACGGGTTGTGCGGATTTCTGGTTATACTATTTTTCGAAGTGACACTAAGCTCTCACGGTGTGCCGTTTTAGACCAGTGTTCAAAATTTTGTTGATTTAGGAGATAAACACATCTAAATAATATCAGCTTTCAAACCTCAACTCTTAGTCTATTTATGAACGTTCTTCTTCTCCCAAAGTCATTATGACCGTTCATTGGTCATTGTATCCAAATTTCATCCTCTTCCTGAATCCTGATTCATTTTCTGTTTTCGGGTGTTCCTGGCCTCTGACACCGAAGTCCAAATATGACTATGGAACACTGTTCCACATCATTTATTGCCGCATGCTGTTTTAGTGCTGGCGCCAGCCTTCTTGCGTTTGTGGCTTCAGAAGTGTGAACGGTACATTGCTCACACTTTCGTTTTGTCTGTTTTGTTTCCCTCAGCAGGCCGGAGCCGAAGGGAGACGTCCGCCAGAGGAAATAGACATCTAGCGGCAAAATCCAGCACCTGTAGTTTCATCTTTGCCCGCCAGGTGGCCGGCGCGCGGCGAACGGGCGAGCCCCGGTCGGTCTCTGGGTGGCTTTAACGGAGTTCTCCGCTGTCTCGTGGTGGCCGATACTCTGTTAGCGATACTCGCCGCTCTGATAGGGGTGCGACAGGTGGAGACGCTCTCTCTAGTAGGCCGTGGGCCGGGGCGAGCGGCGCGGAGCTCCTGGACCCTCGGAGAGGGACAGTCTGTAGCAGACTTCCCTCCTCTGAGTGGCGCCTCGAGCCCTGATTATGGATTGGCAATAGTGTGAGAGGTGATTTCTTTCTCGCGCGCGTCGCCCGCTGCCTTAGCTTCCGCCGGCCGCTAGTCACAATCTGTACCGGCAGATGGCGCTGTCGGCGCTGGCTGGCGAACGACCCAGTTCGACTCAAGGCGAGAACGAGGTCGTAAATCGAGACTCACTTTCAGTCTGTAGCTTAGATCAATGTGCGGTGATGTGGGTTGTAGACGTCTCTTCGGCGGGGTATGTGTGCGTTATTTACCAATATTGAGGCTCGTTTGTCCCCCCCCTCCCCCACGGCAAACAGTTGCCGTAGCTGCAGTGTGCCCCTCCCCCTTAGGCGGATGCCCGTTATATTGTTGGTACTAGAGACTTCTATGGTGCGCGTTGTATTTGACTTGGTTTTACCCGTAGACGCAGGCTGCTCTGGTTTTGATATAGGTTCGGCCTTGCTAATTGGTGTTGTGGTCAGCTCTTATCTGTACGCGATCGGCGCGGTGTTTCGGCCCGTTAAATTACAATAAATGACCCTAAATTAAACCCATATTTGGATGGATCGAACCTCTCCTGTCGCTAGCCAGAATCAACCTTATTACCTAAATACCTAACAAACCCTCTACCAAGCACGGCACATGCGTAATGTTTGCTACCAGTGGCGCGGGAACCGGGAGGGGGGGGGGGGCTACCGGGGGCTGAGCCCCTCCAACTTTTCGGCTGGGAAAGGGGGGGGGCCTCGTAATGTATTTGAGCCCCTCCATCTGGAGGAATCGAAATCGGAAATCTACCACCATGATTTCATAGATTCATACATAGGCGCGGGAACCGGGGAGCAGTGGAGGCAGCTTGCACCAACTATGGGGCCGTGGGGGCGGTGCCCCACAACCTTTCATATGGCCAGGAACCGTTGGGACAGCTTGTCCTCCCCAAATTAGGGGTTGTGGGTTACAAAGGAAGAGAGCATGTAAGCGAAAAATCCACCTCTTTCACTGTCTCGGCAACTCATTTGGCAGATTAAAACCTTTATTCCAGGTTGCCAAAACGTTTCTTCGCTCAGCTGAGTGAGACGGCATACCTCACTATTTTGCAAATGTTTTCGTCATTTTTTCGTTGAAAAGGCCAAAGTGTGAAAATAAGTGGCCTAAAACCGGTGAGAAAACTATATTTGAGGGTATCCTAGGTTGATCTCTATTATGGTGCAGCAGTGGCGCGTGGCAGATCCAGCTCAGTTGTTTGGGGGGTGGGGGCAAACCATAACAATTTATAAGAATTTATCGATTCTTTCCATGCCTCGTCCATAGGCGTAATAAAATTATGCCGTTTGGGAGGAGCAAATGCCCATTTTTTTTGCCCCCCCCCCTGGATCCGCCACTGTGGTGCAGCCCCCCAGTCTGGAAGAAGTTCCCGCGCCACTGTTTGCTACTCTGCCCAGGTGCATACCTGTTCCGCTCGCACAAATACCGTCCCAACTGATGAATAATAACAGCGTGAAATAGCGACCAAATGGCCATTTGTAAGTTGAATTATACACGAAATGTTCGCCAAACGCGTTCTGCTTGGCTTTGGAGGAAATAATTGACCAGCACACAGCAAACGATCTAAAACTTTAAATTCCCCTCCTGAGTTGTGCATTGGGTTCAGCTGCCAACGGCCTTGCATATGTCGCATCCCTCTCGGCAGCATCAGACTGATGGATCAGAATGTATTGAAAACGGCAATAAACTCTCGAAGAATAAGTTCCTACAAGAACACCGAGATACTCGAGTGGCTTGACTAAAAGACCGACTACGACCGCACACACCGAGGCGGAAAAATTCCGACTCACATTCTCGATTAAAAGAACCAGCAATCTCTACAAAGCTACTGGTAGGGACAAAACGACATATTCAGGACATTTAACCAGATCGAACGTTAGCATAAAGGAAGTCTCACATGCAATGCGAGCCTTTAAGTTCATTCACGAAAACCACGAGGCCCACAATCTTACGGGAACAGCATTCTTTCCTCCAGGCTCGATCATTCAGTTTGCACTTGCGCTCAAAAGTTCAGTATAACTCGGCTACTAGTCCTAGTTCATCCACACAAGACAAGGTACCCCTAGCGTTCACACTTGGTCATCTAACGTCCATCCGATTCTCACTAGCGTCCCCTCGCGCAGTGCGCTGTCCGCGACTTTTATCGGCCTAGTCGGACGAAGCACAAGTCTTTTTCACCGCTCCATGGCAACAAATACCTCACCTTGTCCACTCATAGCGTAACGCTCAGTCCAGTGTAATCATTTCTACGTCTCCAGAGGATGAGGCGGCTTTCGTCGGAGCGGGGACAGCTTTCGTTGGAGCGGCGGCAGCAGCTGGAGCGTCCGTAGCCGCAGCGGCAGGGACGGGCGCAGCGGCGGCTCTCGCCAGCGGCAAGCCACGAGGCAGAGATCTCAGAGTTATCTTGCGAGGGGCCGACTCGGGCGCCCTGGTCTGAGCCGGTCCGGGGGCGGAGGTCGGTCCAGAGGTCTGCGCGGAGGAAGGAGCGGGGGTTACAGCGGAAGTCGAGGCGGAGCCGGCCGTCACCGGCGTCGGTATCAGCCGGCGCGCCGTCGGCTGGCCGGCCGTCACGGCCGTGGGAGTCAGCCGTCGCGCTGCCGTCGGCTGGGCCGCCGACACCGGAGTGATGGTCAGCCGCCGACCCGGAGCGGGGGCGGGGGCGGCCGGCGAGACGCCCGACGGGCCCGGCCGTGGTCCCACCGTCGTCAACGGCACGCGCCGCTTCGGTGTGCCACCCGCCGCGGCGCTGGTGGACGGCCCCGCAGAGCCACCGCTGGTGGACGGACTCGCCTTGAAGAAGTTGGCGATACCCGGCTGGGCCGGCTGGCCCGCCGCCGGCCCCTGAGGCGAGATCAGCTTGGTCGGCACGATCTTCCGCTTGGCCGGCGGCGGGCTGAGCAGCTCGCTGCGCGCCTGCTCCGCCGTCACCACTTTGGCGAACTTCGTGATGAGTGAGGTGGCTGCACGGGCCCGCTCCGGCGTGGGTACTGTCGCCACCTCCGCCCCCGCCACCGTGGGGGACACACCTGGAGTCGCGCCCTTGGACTTCCGCGCCGCCGTCTTGGTGATCCACTTCCACTGGCTGGGTAGGGGCAGCTCCACCCCCAGCGAGGCCAGAACGTCATCATTGACCATCCAGCAGCAGCGGCCCTGCAGCGGGCCCTCCGCTGTGCACCGGGTGTACGAGGCGATGGCCACCAGCTTATCCTCGATTTTCTTCTTGGAGAGTAGCGGGCCACCGGTGGGTGTGCCCTCGGTGGTCGACGGTGGGGTCTGGCCAGCCGCCGCCGCTGCTGCCGCCGGATCAGCCTTCCGCGGTGAGCCGCCGTGCACGCGCCTTTTCCAGAAGGCGGCGAACTCGCGCACCAAGAACGGCTTTCCGCGCGTGCTGCCGTGGACGAGACGCGCCAGAGGCAGCAGTGCTGGCGACGGACGGAGGCGAGGTCAAATAAGGGGAGGAGAGGTAAAATTCCGAAACGAGTACCAACTTTCAATCAATCGGGTATCAACTTCAATCGGGTACCAACTTTTGGTATACCGATACCAAATCGATACCAACTTGGTGTTTGGTATTTCAATCCTAATAAGTTTGGTATTTGTTTGGTATCACGAACCCTCAGGAATGTATAAGAGGCTAAGAAATCGGTAAAAAGTTGGTATTTACCGCATGTTCCCACATTGGCTTGGTTTCGGTATTTCCCCACGGTTTTGGTTGGTATTTGGTTTGGTATCGTTATTCCGATTTTCTGTAATTGACATTACTACTCAAAATCATGATTTTTATCAACACTTTCAGGTGATTGTATAGAACATCGCATCTCAGGTTTGACAAACGTGAGTTACGCTGTGTCTGCAATAACTACGCTCGATAACTTATCCATAACAGTGAATCTCCCTAACACTCGTTAACCACCATTCAAAGAATAGCTGTCCAGTGCGGGTGCGCTACCTCACTCCACCCTTCCTCTCCCACATCGCCTCACCTTCGCTGGGGAACTTCTTGAGGAACTTCAGGCCGGTCTGCGCCGAGGAGGCGGGCGTTTCAGAGGGCGAGGGGCCGGCCAGGGGTGTGCTGGCCACCTCTCCACTCGCCACGGTCGGTACGGGCAGGGTGGAGAGAGCGCGAACGGCGAACGGCCGCAGCAGCTTCAGCAGCTGCTGGAACACTGCGGGTGCGGAGAGAGACCAGTCAGGAGTGTCGAGAGACTCGGGGCACATGCCCGCAGTTATGGTGCTGTGGTACCGGACATGATGCAAGATGCACATGATTAGACGAATTCAAGCATGATAAAAAGCGATGCTACTCAGTTTTACGAGAAGGCTAGCTGTGATTTTGCGCCGTTGAGAAAGGTAATGCAGCGAGACATAAGAGTTCAAATTTTAACCATGGGACAGGTTCTTACTGGGATCAGTGTTAGTGTCGTCCCTCCAGACGCATCCGATGAGGCGCGGCTTCAGCGCCGTCGTCTTCTTCTTCATTTCCTTCTCAAACTCCTCGCCCTTCTCCTTCAGGCGCGCCTTCTGAGCCTCCGGCGACTGGGGAATGGAGGGAAATGCTGTGAAGTCACCGTTCACCGCTCAGGTCAAGCTACGAAAACCGACTGGCATGAAACCGCGAGGCATAAGACATCGAATACCTATGAAGTATGACATCAGACTAATTCACAACAGTAGTTCGGCCCAGTCATGGAAAATATATCCAAAACACAAAATGTAACGACGGAACAGCTGTTTCTCGCGTTTCATGGCATACTCACGATCATCTCCTCTTCATCCTTCATCTCTTCATCACTGAGGTAGCCGTGAGGCACGAAATACTCGTTGTCCACTTCGTAATCATCCTCAGACTCCACCTCCTGCAGAAAGGGCGATATGGTCAGAGCACCTAGCGACAGACGCCACAGTGCCACACCATACAATTACATACCGAGCGCAGAGATATTGCTGATTTAGCGGTCGGTTTTACGGCCGTATCTCGTACCTTTTCCGATCCGCTGAGACTCTCTCCGTTGGGGTCCTCCTCTTCCCAGTCATCGTCTGAGTCCTCCTCGTAGTTGAGAATCTGAAACAGACACGGCGTCGAAAAATAACGTCACATCGGCAATATCTATAACCGAGTTGTCACGCAATACACAATGGTAACCACAGCCATACCCCAAAACATCGTCCGTCTCCAAAGAAGACATACCATTTTTAATTTTAACATCTAGCCTGATGGATTCACGCAGTGCTCACCCCAGGTCTACGGTGCCCAACCATTTTACTGCAAGCTATTCCTAGGCAATGTCACCCGCCCCTCCCCCGTATGCTCCCCTCCTGGGCCGAGATCGACACCTGGGTTCCACCCGTACCTCGGCCTTGCCGAGCGGCCGCCGCCCGCTGACCACCGGGCACCGTTTGCTCCAGGTGCCCCAGTAGGCGGGCCGGCGGTTCTCGTGGAACATGAGCAGCTTGTAGCGCAGTTTACGGGCCGTAGCGGCCGCCGTCGAGAGGTCGATGTTCTGTCCCAGTCCGTCCAGTTCGCGTTCCTCGTCCTCATCCTCTTCTGTGAATGGCACAGCAATAACAGTTCGTCAGAAAAGGGCAATGACGCGCCATAGCAAGCGTCATGATTTGGAACGAGTGGAATGATGGAATCAACATATATTATATATTCAAGCAATGCGGTCGGAAAGAGGCCTTTTGAAGTGACTGCTGTAAAACCCAATGTTAGTGAGGCGCCATTCAACGCGAGGTAAATCATGATTTGCCCACGGGTCACGAAAATTGACGTATTTGTCATCGACTTTACCGACGGTGCTTATCCGCCATTATCACGCCCCATCCCCTCCGCCTGCCTGACTGCACTGACCGATGATCTCGAGGTCCTTCTGCAGCGGCGGCAGGGTGCGGCTGCGACTCTGCGGCTGTCGGCGGCCGGAGCGCAGCTCAGACAGGTACAGGCGGTCGCGCGGCGGCCGCTCCGGCGCCGCCAGCGCCCGCTCGAGCTGGCTGCTCTGGCCGGCCGAGAGGGCGGTCCGCGCGCCCGGCGCCAGCACCATGTCTTCCTTCACCTGAGCGACGGAAACGAGAGAGAGGTCGATGTCGATACGTGAAATATAATGTAGGTTTGGTCAATGTGTGCTACACACTTTTCTCATATGGGTGGATATCACGAGCGACCAGTCCTCAACTTCTGTATCGCACAGGGGAGCGACGCAAAATAACCATGAAATAAATAAAAAAATGTTGACAATTATTAAGAAAACGTCAAAAACGCACGCAGACAGAAGCTCAAATACCTACTAAACCAATGGATGATTAGAACGGGGCTTCGATGACCAGCTTACTGGGCTAGGATTTTTTAAAACTAAGTACTGAGCGATCTTAGATTGTGATGGCCGTGACAAGAAAGCAGAAAGCAAAAATATATCACTGAGTGGTCACGCACAGACATCAGCACTTTGAATGTCAGTCTCATGCTATTGGATATTTCAAACCCACACATTCATCAGAAGCAAGTCGTAAAACAGTTTCTGCGGACGAGCGAATCAACCGGTACTTACCCTGAACTCCTGGAATAGCTTGTTATCGTCATCCTTCTGTTCTTCCTGTTCTGCTTCAGCTTCCTTGGGCGGCTTCTTCACGAAGAAGCTGGAGAACATCGACTTGGCCTTTTGGAGTTTTCTTTGCTCTTCTTCCTCGGCCTTGCGCTTCTCCTCTTCTTTTCGATTCTTCTCCTCTTCTTTGGCCTGTCTTTTCTCGTCGATCAGTTTCTGTTTCTCCGCTTCCTTTTGTCTATAAAAAAATGGACCTTTGTAAGCATTCCAACATCGAGATGTAAATCGATACTAATACGTAAAAACAGCAGTGAGCTTTTAGCTTGCCCTACACATCTTTATATGCCCGACTCCACTGATCATAATACCTTTAGCACCTTAATGTCATCGTCTATTCGACTCGTACACATCAAACCGGGAATCACCGATCCTGCGTTGTGACCTGACCTTACGTCTTGGGAGAACTAATTACGAGAAAATCCAGTCGATCGGAGATGAAGATAAAGCTAACAATTATAGTAGCGATAGGCTAGGAGTTAAATGTTATACCGTAAGTGACGCGTTACAGCCGAGCGTCATGCTTCCAATAAGAGGGAGCACATCTCAAGGCGGACGGCGCCTTGCAAATTTACCTTTCACATGCCAACCCAGGTTCCAATACTTACCTTTGCTTCTCCAGCTTCTCCTTTTCTTTCTCTTGACGTTCTTTTTCTTTCTTCTCTTCTTTCTCCTTACGTTCCTTCTCTCGTTTCTCCTCCTTCTCTTTGCGCTCTTTTTCCTTTTGTTCATGCTTTTCTTTCCTTATCCGTTGCTTCTCTTCTCTGCGGCGTTGTTTCTCCTCCTGTCAAAATATCCCGATAAAGAAGCGTTCAGTAAAACCGAAATCGTGTCCGAGGCAAATCGTCGCATTTCCGATCCAGTGGGATTTTCTACGAACTGTCAATTCCTAAAGAAGGAAGGAATTTTGGATCATTTCGATGGTTTTAGAAGCAATAATTTCCAAAATAGTTCCGCGCTTGAAGACAATTAATTTAATGGTCGTTACGATTTCCGTGTTTGGTCGGCTGGGATCCAGGCACACCACACAAGCTTGCTCATAATTTTCAATTAATAAAAAACATACAAAAATAAAATAAGAAACCAACACAATTACCGAAAACGAAAAATAAAGATCACACGAGTCTCACCAGTTTCTCCTGTTCCCGTTTGGCTCTGATGCGCTCCCGCTCCAGCTGCTTGGGCGTCTTCTTCTTGGTGACGACGATCCGCTTGGTGGACGGCGTAGTGGGAGCGCTGGACGGATGGGCGTCTGCGCCGCTCGCCGCCCCCTCCTCGGCTGACTTCGGCTTGGCGTCATCCAGCACCTCGACGTCATCAGCACTCTCGTCATCGGCGTCATCGTCCTTCTCCGAGTCGGAGCTATCGGCGGGCGCAGAGTCAACCGCGGAGTCAACCGGCCGCTCGGTGGATTTGGCAGAGTCATCCGCAGAGTCAACCGGCAGCTCGGGGGCTTTGGCAGAGTCAGAGTCATCCGCCGTGTCCGCTCCCGTCGTCTTAACGGAGGCACTGTCCGCGTGCTGTATCTTTTCATCCGCAGCAGCTGGTCCGCGGGCTCAGACATGGCCGCGTCACCGTCCTTATCACAGTCCTCGCCGATTCAGATGTCTTTGTGGCCTCTTCGGGTTTTGTTTGAGAGACGTCAGATTCGTCAACCGATTGGGACTTCTTTTCTTTTGGAGTTGCAACAGCATTTGATAGCGACACGTCATGCTTGTCATCAGATTTCGTCTCCAAATTGTCTGCAAGCTGGACTTCTTCCTTTTCCGATACCATTGCAGTGTCACCGCTCACGGTAGCCTTTTCCGATATGTCGGCCTTATCCGATGTTTTGACAGGCTCCGATTCACTATTCTTCTCCATTACAGCATCCCCAGACGCCAGCACGTCTCCG